ATGCCTCGTTTATAATGGGTTTTAATGTTTATGTCTCGTCGCTCTGGTCGGGACACGGCATCAACAGTATGTGAGGGGCGTAACATTTCCTTCACACACTTGAGATATTCGGCCAATCACAACGCAATGGATAGCTGACCAATCAGAGCACACCTCGCTTTTTCAGACCGATGAGCTTTGTAAAAATCAACGTGTTTCAAAAAGGCGGAGCATAGAGGAGAAACTATAATGTACAGTATGTGGAAAATAATGTGGTTTTTTTACTTTAAACCACATAAACACATTTCATTACACCAAATACACAAAATAATGTTATTTTTAGCAACATCATATGACCCCTTTAATGTCTTTTCTATTGAAACTTGTAATTACACATTTGCAATGATGGTGCAATTTTGTACATTTAAAATATTAACTTGTAAATATTTATAAATGTAATATTAAATAAAAGTAAAGTACTTTGTGCTTTATTATGTTAGTCAACACGTCAAAAAAGTGTGCTTATTACTTAAGAGTATTAACACAATGATTTAAAATGTACTTTAACACTTAATTAGTAATTATTATAGCGCACTTTTTAAAAGTGTTATAAGAAACAGTCGTTAAAGTAAACTCTTTTTAAGTACACTTAAGTGGTCTTTTATTTCACGAATATTACTGTATTGGCCATGAGTAGAGTGTTTAATTATTATTATTTTTTTTTATATATACTTTTAAGATTGAAGTACCCATTCAGTACAATTAAGCACAGTTATTTGGACTTCAATGTTCAGTATACGAGTCTTTGCTGCTGTATTTTGTGATGGTTGTGCTTTTAACAGAACGCTTGTCTGTTGTCTCTTTTAAATCAGGCGCCGTCACCTAAAGCAGCCGCAGAGGACAGTGTGCGTCTGCTGAAAGAGCTTTATCTGTTTGACGTGCTGAGAGCGGACAGAACCACAGCCGCACACGGGTAAGACTAGATGTCCCTTCCCTTCTCTTCCCACACAAAATTGGTAATTGGTCTTTTTTTTTTTTTTTTTTTTTACAGTATATGTCACTGCAAACGTTTTTTTTGTTTGTTTTTTTTTGGTCTTCATTAGGCTGGAGTTGAGAGTGCCTTTCCTGGACCATAGGTTCACCGCATACTACCTCTCTCTGCCTGAAGAGATGAGAGTGCCTAAGGTGGGTTTTCCTGACACCTTACCTTCAGTGATTTATCACCGTATACTCCTGTCAGTTCTTGCTGCAGCTGCTCCTAATTTAGTACTCAGTTGGGGATTCGACAAACCTTTAAGCCTGTAAAAGGGACAGTTCAGTTTTATTCAGATGCCCAAACTGAGCAAAAATATGCCATTTGGTGCAGTTGCTAATATTTATATGGCTAAAAAAAAAATGAAATTGTTAGTTTGTAATGAAAATCAAATGAGATCTTTATAATAGTATAACAGACTATTTGCATAAAATCTTATACATATCGGTTGTCACTCTGTCTATAAGATATTTAAATGCTTAGTTTTATGAGCAACGCTCTGTATTTTGCTCTATATTTGATACTCGCATCTTAACGTGTTTTTCTAAAAAATAATTATTTTGATAAATAAGTTGCTTCAGTCCAGTAAGTGTTCATCTTGAAATATTTATAGTTATTCTTGCTTTCAGTTTTAAAGTTTAAATCTGTAAAGATTTCACAGCCTAAACTACACGTGAACCACGACCTGAAGTTGGATGTTTTTAAAATTATACTAGAAGGCCTTTTACATGCTAAAAAAAATAAAAATGATCAATCAGACAAAAGAAGGCATGTTGATCATGTTTATTTAGAGGCCTTAGAAATGAGTGTATTAGATATGAAACATTAGGGTTAATATGAGCACTAGTTATTGGTATTATATTTTCACTTTCTTTTTCAACATTCACATGAGTGGTTTCTGTAACCCGATTGAATAACTTGTTTGATCGGAGCAGGATGGTGTGGAGAAGCATCTCTTGAGGGAAGCGTTTAAAGGGTTGAACCTCATCCCAGATGAGATACTCTGGAGGAGGAAGGAGGCCTTCAGTGACGGGATGACATCCATTAAGAAATCCTGGTACAGCAGCCTGCAGGAGCACATCGAGTCTGAGGTAATGCATATGACACGGTGATTTTTAAAGACTCTTCCCTGTTGTCTCGTCCTTTAATTTTTCTTTTCTCCTTCAGGTGAATGACTCTCAGTTGGAGAAGGCCAGTGTGCAGTTCCCTTCCAATCCTCCCACAACCAAAGAGGGCTTCTTCATAAGACAGATCTTTGAGAAGCATTACCCCGGCCGCTGCGAGTGGACGCCACATTACTGGATGCCCCGCTGGATCAAGGCCACGGACCCCTCGGCCAGAACCCTGTCCATCTACAAGCCCAATAAAGACCAGTAATCACATCAAGCGTCAGACCTTACCTAGACCACACATACCTGCCGGTTCATTCGTTATTGCCATAATATATTTTTTGCCTCGCCTTTCTCGGTTCAATTTACTAAACTATCTTTTAGGTTGGGTGTTTTAGTGTTTCCTAAAGGGGATTGAGTTTATTTTAGGTCACTTTTTTTTTAACGGTTGGCGTGATACTGTATCTTTAGCTCATGCAATAGATTTCAAAAGATAGAAATGGAGGCGTTATCTGCTCTTCAGGCCTTTAAGCTGCCTTGCTTACTCTATTACACTCATGTTTTCTTTTTCTTTTTATGGAGCTTAAACATAGCTGTAAACAAACCAAAACAGAAGTGGGTTAGCATAGCTTGTTGGTTATAAGAATCCCTTAAAAAAAATTGCACAGTAACTTGTTTCTTGTAAAGAATGTTTGTTACCACAGTAAAAATATGATATCTTAATATTAATTAAGTTCAAGTCAACAGCACAGAAAGCTTCTTACACGGTTTGAAGGAGATTCCATTTTCAGTTAACATTTTACATTAGTAACAAATAATATATACACTGCCATTCAAAGGTTGGGGGGGGGGGGGGGGGGGGAGCAATCTACTTGGTTTGAAGGTGACTTCATGCATTGTTACACTATTGACAATAGACCTTTTTTTGCCTGTGAAATTTCTCTAATGTAAATGCACCATTACCAAGCAAGAGCTAGAATCTCTAGTTTTTTGGGGTAGACTTTTTCTGACTTTTAACCAGTAATGAAACCAGTAAAAAAAAACAAAAAAAAAACAGTAACCTAAAATTACCCATTAATCTTATAGGAAAGGTAAAAAGAAGAAAGGGGCGGAAGGGGGGGGGGGGGGGGGGGGGGGTGGGGGTCAGTGTGTGTGTGTGTGTTTGTTTTTGAAGAAGTCATCTCTAAATCTCGCCACGGCTGCATTTATTTGATCAAAAATACAGTAAAAGCTAATATTGTGAAATGTTACCGTTTAAAATGACCGTTTACTATTTGAATATGTTTTAAAATATAATTTATTCCTGTGATGCAAAGCTGAATTTTCAGCATCATTACTCCAGTCTTCAGCGTCACATGATCCTTCAGAAATCATTCTAATATGCTGATTTACTGCTCAAGAAACAATTCTTATCATTATCAATGTTAATAACAGTTATGCTGCTTCATATTTTTGGATTCTTTAATGAGTGGAAAGTTCAAAAGAACAGCATATATTCGAAATGTAAAAAGTAACAATGTTAAGCTCATTACTGTATTTATTTATTTTTTTAATTATGAATGGTAGTGTATAATGTAGTCCATAAACTATTAACACTGTGTTCTTGAACTATGCACTTATCCCAGGCTCCTTCAGTGAGACTCCCACCTTAATAGCTGTGTTTGTGTCTATAGTCAGCTAATTGATAGCAATTGGTTGCCTAGTTGAAATGCTTTTAAGCAATTATATTTATTCCCAAAAAAACTGTTTTACTGTAACAGTCTCAGAGTTGAATGAATGGCTCTGGTTAAAGTATGATTCACCGTTTAGCCTTAAATGCTGGGTTAGTTTTAAGATATGAAACTAAAATTGAGGGTTATACAATGTATTTGTTTTTATTATTTTTTACACTTTGTTTGTATTTTCTTTGGTGCACCATCACTTTAAACTGGCTTTTAAAAAATGTACTATGAATTACAGTTATGAACCGTGCATGTAGTTTGAATGTTTAAAGAAACTGTAACTTCCTATACCAAAACCATTCAAGATATTTTCAATTAAATTGGAGATTTTAATGTTGAAGCTATTGCATTAAACGATCTGGTCATGGTATTGATAAAGCCTTTCATCAAAACAGCAGTCATAATGTGTGTTTTTATGCTTTATGCCGCCTTCGAAAGGATTCTTTTTGCTGTTGACATACTCCTAATGGCCTGTAGGTCAGAGTGCGTCACTGTGAGTGCGCCATACACCACTCAGTCAACGATACAAGGAATTAAAAGTTCCACCAGTAAAGAAAATATTTTTAATATCAAGCTACAATCACACAGAGATATCAAGGTAGCAAAACCTTTGCTCGTAGCAGTGACAGGACATGACGTCACACCCAGCCTGGCGCTAATATACAACATCTTCAGTCATGGTGAAAACACTATGAGGCACTATGTATTGACACTGTCAGCACAAATCTCTGAGGTCCTTAGAAAGGACACCGCTTTGCTTTAATGCTCCACAACTGATGTTGTGACAGAAACACGTTTGATCACAGCTGGACCGTATTGAAACGTCTGATCCTTTTTAAATGACGTAAATGAACTGCCACAGGTGCGAGTCGGCCATATTACCACAACGTGAAATCATTTTTATTTCCAACCGGAATAAAGAATAAAAATCAACGAATATCACAGAATGAAATGATCCTTTAGGAAGCGGCTGTGACGACGATTCGTTTTATCTGTTAACGCCTTTTGTCGTAGATCTGTACTGTTCCCCATTCATACGATTCTGTGAAGAGAGAAGGTCAAGATTACAAACAGATCATCATAACACAATTTTAAATCACCACTAGTTTTATTATTACTAATATTATTGATTAAGCAGCTATCCTAAACCCGAATATAGAGCTTTTGCAGTTCCTACCTGGCTCCTCTTGGCTTCTTTTACCCATCAGCCCCACAAAAGAATTGATTTTATGCCCTAGAAAACAATAAAGGGAAAAATATTATATAGAGAGAGCATAAAATACTGTATATAGAGGGAGAGATGGATACACATAGATATATAGATGCGATACTGTTGGAAGTCTAGAGTGCGGTTGAATTGATTTGATTTCTTTACAATTGTTTTATTCTACTGTGAAAATGTAGACCTTGAGGTTGTGAGTTTTGCATTAAGAGGAATCGTGTCTCTAAAACTCTTAAGAGTCCATATTTAATAAGCTGCGACTGAGCCTGTGGAAAAACCTGCAAAGATCAAGCATTTGTAAAGCTGAAAGTTTTCTCTTTTGTTCGACAGTTGTAAAAACATTTGTTTTTCTTTATGTTAGGAAGAAACTCTGGAAATGTCTTTGTATAACTGGATATGTAAATCTCTTGAAGAGACTCTTTGCTTTTATACAATGCAAGCATTTAGCAAATAATATATGCATTGTGTGCAGTAGTGTTCTTGTGGAGATCACTTACTTTTTCGTGTAATCTGTGCATTTGCTGTGGGGGTGGAAGAATGAAAGAGATGCGAGTTATAGGTCAAAAGCATTTTTATAATTTGCTGTGTTCTAGTTAAAACATCTCAAAATCTGATTTGGATTTTTAGTGTTAAATTAGGTGAGATATAGGAGTGCAGTCTTACCAGAGGACCGTTTCCCCATCAGACCAATGAACTGATGAGGTCGGGGTTTCCTCGTCATACGTCTTAGTAACTCTCTTAAGGGATCCGCCTGCAGCCTCTCATCCTGTGAAAGATGATTTGATTATTGAATGTCAGACCCCCGACAGACAGATGCCACTCACTCTAGAAGATCACTGGTATACTTGTATACACAAACAGTATTTTATAACTCATCCCAATACGGAATTCACCAAATTGTATGATTTTTCACCACAGTTTTTGAGCACAGAAATACTCTACAAGATACAGTAGTTGCAAAGATGCAGTTTATGAGCACAGAAAGCATGAAAGACATAAGTGCTTGGCTGCCTTCCAACCCGCAATGTCAAATGGGAAACGTGCGCTCCATTCAAACAAGCAGTAAGAGCATTGAGTAATTCAGCACTGGACAGCGACCTGTGGGTATTGTGCTGGAGTCCTGACTAATAACCCAGTGAATCTAATTAAAGCATCATCCATGTTGCACATATTACATGATACTATAATTAGAGCTGTTACTGCAATAGGGTACCCCCCCCCCCATATTTAAAAAAA